TTGGGGGTCTTCCGATCTTTTGCTGACCCTCCACCTTTCCGGGCATGATGTCCCTTCCCAAGGAACAACCTCTCTTAGCCACACGCCCAAAGTATGTGAGGTGAAGCCTCATCATTCTTGCCTTCAAAGAACATTCAGGCTGCACCCTCTATAAGACATGTATCTGTTCATTCTCTTGTCCGTCCGTGGGATGTTCAGTGCTCTTCTCCAACACCACAGCTCAAAGGTGTCAATTAGTCTTCTGTCATTCACTATCCAGTTCTCAGATGCATAGCAAGTGACTGGAAAGACTATGGCCTAAATCAGGTGTACCTTAGTCTTCAAACTGACATCACTGCTCTTAAGTATTTTGGAGACTTGCCCAATGCAATGTGTCTCCTGATCTCCTGATTACTGGTTCCAAAGGTATTGTTTATCAAGCTACACTCACGCAAATGCTCAGTGCGTGGCCAACAAGTCATCTCTCAGTAAGCACCTCCTGGTCGAACGGCTGCTGCAAAGTGGTTTTCCTTTTCCTGGAATTAAGATTTCTGGGGTCCATGGAGCTGAGGTGACCCATCTGGCCACTTGACCTTAGATGCTTTTTTGAATCCTAAGTCTTGCAAAAACCAACCTCCAGTCACTGTCAAGTCAAACAGCCGTCTCTGACAAGCATTTTGCTTGCCCATTGTAGTGTTTTGAAAAAACTGAATCCGTTTCATTAAACAGAAATTCCAGGGCCTGACTGGAAGCTGTGCTTTCTGTGTTATGAAAGCTCTGCTTGGCCCCGTTTCCATGGCAATGTAGATGGAGTGGGGCCTAAGAGTCTTTGGAGACTTCATCTGTAGAAGGCTCCCGGACCAGCCATTCCCCAGTTCATGAACTGAAAAACAAAGCTAATGAGTTCACGTTCAAAATTCAATATTGTGAAAATGGTTTTAATGAAAAGGCTGGCATATGGACGGGGCAGCACCCTGTCTCACTCTTGGTGCCTCTACAAGTTTCACTGAACAAGACACTCCTCCATGACTGGGCCGACCAGAAGTCCCAGCTCTTTGTACCTGTTCTCTCAGAATCATCGTTGGTGTCCCGGGTTAGGGAGTGGAGCGGACATACACTAACACTTGTGGTTAAAGAATCTGGCCGTGAAGGAAAAGACTGGTAGGAGAAAGATGTAGCATTCTGCTTCTTTAAAAATGTACACCCTGGGGGAGCTCTGGTGGCCTAGTGGCAAGAAGCTGCACTGCAATCCCAGAGATATGCGGTTTGAATCCATCAGAAACTCTGGCGGAGAAGGGGCAATCTCCTGTACCAGTCAGATCGGATTTGACGGTACATACACAAAAAAGTTACACCCTGGAAACACTGCCAGGTAGTTCCACAAGGACCTTTGTCCTATAAGGACTGAGAATCTGAATCAAGTCACTGGTGTGACGTTTTGGTGGTTCGAATCTACCAGCTGCTCCATGAGAGAAAGATGGGCAATCTTCTCCCGTGCGATTTACTGCCTCCAAAAACCCACTGGAGGTCAGCTCTGAATTAGCCGGTCTGACTTGACTGTATGTATGTTGTCATAGCCCATAGTCCCCTACGATTCACAATGACCCTATGGACTGATCTGAACCTTGCCCCGTCCTCACCTTCTCTGATACACCAGAGCTCAGCCCACTGCTGCAATCACTGTGTCAATAATCTATTTTGTTGGAAGTCTTCCTCTCTGACCTTCCACCTTTCCCAGCAAGATGCCTTTCTTCAAGGGCCGGCCCCTCCCGACGGTATGTCCGAAGTATGTGAGACGAAGTCCCATCCTGTCAGTAATGATGTCAGGTTGCCAGGTGAGGGGAACATTGGCTGTGATGGTGACACTGGGGGTCATCTTGTCTGGACCAGATCCTCAGGGTTCTCTGGCAGTTATGCCGTTTCTTGGAAGGTGATGGGCATAACACCCCATATTCTGCCACGACTTTTTCTTAAACTTGACTGTAATGATGTGTACTCATTCAACTATATGAATGATAGGAATCTTGGTTGCACAAGGGTTAAAACACTCAGTAGCTCACAAAGGAGAGAGGAGGCAGTCTGCTCTGCTAAGGGTTTCAGCCCTGGAGCCCCTACTGTAGGTCCACATTGTTGACAGGGCAGCTGTGAAGCAGAACTGACTTGGTGGCAACAGGTTTGTATCAAGGGCAAACTTTGTGTGTGACAATCTCTAGAGAATCGCCTGCGATGCATCACCTTCTGGTTTAATGCTGATTTGGTATTAAAACATTTCTTTCTTGGGTTCAATAATGTATACTGCACTGAAACAGAGGAGGGAGAAAACTGTTTTAAAAGTGATATATAACTAGGTATTTCTGTCATCACAGGAGTCTAGAGCGAGGGCTACATGGTGGAGGGGACCTGGGGGAGGGTTTGTAAAACAATGAAAGAATCTTTTCTTTTACTTTTCCATAATTTTTGACTCATGTACTTATAACTTGTTAGTCAAATTTGTGTCTTCTAGGTTGCAACACCCCCATGATACATCTTCAAGGATATGAACATGTACGGCCAAGCACAATCAATAAGAGTGCATCTAAATTCCAAAATCAATCTCCGTAATAGTCTATGTGTTTCCTACTGCCAAAGGGGCCCTTTAGAGTAGTGAGAGAAGATCTTCACCCTGAAACCCACAGCGTCCCTTTTCAGCAGGAAGTAGCTAAGAGAATATGCCATCCCCTTTTCCTTATGACTCAGGGTGAAGTCTCTCTCAGGGAGGAGTGATAGGGAATGGCAAAGGACACACTGACAAAGAAGATTAATCAGAACTGGCTTTGACAAGCACTGTGGCATTTGGACAAGAACTGGGAGGAGGGTAGAGAGAGTGGTGCAACAATGAATGAATGGAAACCCAAAATCTCTGTAAATGTTTATGAAAATTAATAAAATATAATTATAGGAAAAAAACATTTCTTTCTCTCCTGTTTTGTGGTGAGTTCCCTGGGCTGGAGTAGATTTCATTTGTTACTAGCTTTTCTCACACATGCACCCTTCTGCAGTAACCTGGTTTTCAGTCAGTTTCCCCACAAGTCGCTGAATTCCTCGAGGGCACAGTGTATTTTATTAATCTTCAAGTCCATCAAATGCAGGCCATGGCCTGGCTTGAAGAACTTAATAATGTTTATTAATGAACAGCCAGTCATCAATCAACCGATCTTCCACCAAGGCCCCAGGAGTACATAAAAACAATCATTCCCTTCCCATCCTGGTTCGGCCACGCTACAAAGATGCCAGGACAGAGGGGTGCACTGCAGGTAAGCACATTGCTCAGATACGGGTAGGGGGCTTGGAGCTGTGTCCTCAACTCTGATCAGACCCTGGCCCTAATCAGTGTGGAGGAGCCCAGCTTCAGAGTCCCCGAGATCCACAGGCCCAGAAGTTGCTTTTTGCTTTGGTCAAGCGGTCTCAATGGAGCCTTCTCGATCATTTTGTGTTGGTAACTTTTATCTTCAGAGTAAAAATTAGGCTGCAACAAAGATCTCCAACTCTCAAAAACATCTGTGGTAGAAATCCCACTGGTGGTAATTCAATTTAAAGGAATGATCAAGCACAAAGATTTCTTCACTAGGATGCTCAATGCAACATGGCTTGTAATCAAAGTGTAACCAAATACCATGTGCAACTAAAATCAGGTGGGGAGCTCCGGTGGCTCGGTGGTCAGGAGTTAGGCTACCAACCCGAAGACAAGCAACTCGGATCCACGGCTGCTGAGCAGGAGAGAACCAGGCAGCCGCCTCCCGGGGACTGCGGGTCTCTGAAAACCTGCTGTGAGGTCAGCCGTGAGGTGGCACGCAATGACTGTAAAATCATGTGGACGATTAAATGATAAAAATGGTTACATAAGTAATTAAAAAAAGATCACAAAACAATAATAATTCATTAAAAAAGAAAAAGCCTGACATACAGGGAAATGTGGAAAGAAAACTCATTGAAATATCGAATTACTGGTTTTCTCTGAGTAGTGGGATTTGATTATTCCTTTTTGGAATTTTTCATAGTCTTCACATACAACTAACATTTTATAGTTAAAATAGAGGAGGAGGAGGAAGGAAAAATTCAGCCTTCCATGTTCTGTGGCCAACAGGAGGCAGTGGAGGACAATGTGGGAAGCTGTGCTGACAAAGGGCCTCATCAGGTCCTAACTCCTTACCAGCCATGTCTGTGCCTGTGGTGAGCATTACTTAAACCAGAAGAGAAGGGACAGGGCAGACGCCTGGAGCCAGCGCTGCCCTCAGCGCACACCAGGCAGGACGAACCGGAACCAGCCCTGACCTATAGACCCTGCTCTCTCCTACCCCCTTCCAAGAGCTGAAAGGAAAGGTTCTAGAAGGAGCTCTATACAGGACAGCCCTACCCTGACAGGCTCTTGCAGGTTCTAACCCTCCCACCAGGACCCGCAGCTGGACGCTAACCTGAAAGACTCAAGGAAAAGCAGTGTTTATATAACAACAACGTAAGCATTTTATTTCTCATTAAGCCTCTTAGTCTCTTAGTATCACAATGGAATGATGAGAAAACAAAAAAACAACAAAAACACGAGTCTTTGCAAAAATCTGGCATAGACTTCAGGGCAACGAAGGGAGGTGGAGCTTGACAGAAATGTCAACACAGTCCAACACCACGTCTCTCCTTGGCCAGCTGGGGCAGAGAGGGCGGCGGGTGGAATGGTGAGAAGGTACCCCTGGCACAGCTGTCCTGACGGCCACAGTTCCGCACGGTCCACCCGATTTCCTGGCACATCCCCGCCGTCTGGCCACAGGCTCCTCCGCCTGCTCCACACGCCTGGGTACCAGGAACCAGAGCTCCACCCTAAAGCCACGTCTGCCGATGGGCAGCAGAGAGTGTGGAGGAGGGCCTGGAGCAGGCTGCGCCGCGCTGGTGTGAGACTCCAAGGAGTGTCCGACTGTCTGGGGACAGCGTAGTGGCAGGTGGAGGTGGTGCGATGGTGGCAGCAGCAGGTGGTGTCCCTCAGAGTGAGCGGCCTAGAGCTTCACGGTGCCAGGTGGCAGGCTGTTGTTGCAGAGTCTGTAGTAGCGCAGGTCGTTGACTAGCCTGTGCACGTTCTGGGTGAACGAGGGCAGGTCCTGGAAGGCAGAGGCACAGCTGAGCCCGGTCCCTACAGGCCCTCTGTCCCACCCAACAGCCCCGTGACCCACTCACCCCAGCTACTCGACGGCTATTAGATTTCCTAAAGCCCAAAGTCTACTCATCCTTGCACTGTGTCAGCAGAGTCAGCGCAAGGCACTGTGGGAGAAGGCAGCCATGCCCATGAGCACTTCCACGCCACTGACCAGGTGCCAGATGCTGTTCCAAGCAATTCCCAGTTTTACTAACTTACTTCGTCCTCACTACTTCCACTACTGCAAAGATGAAGAAACAGGCATCGAGAGATTAACCTGCCCCAGGTTCCACACAGAAGGACAAGGGTCCACATGCAAATGCGAGAGGGCACTGCTGGCATATCCCCCCCCCCATGCCCACTCAGCACTCAGCGATGCTGGCCAAGTCCCCCGTCACGGGGCCCAGGTACGCGGCCACGCACCTGCACGAGCTGCTCCGAGCAGCCTGGATGTGGAGAGCCCCAAACGACGCAGCCAGAGAGCCCCTCTCGCTTTACAGCCCAAAGTCTACCATGTACTTTTGACCGGGATTACGGCATGCTGCTGTAGACTGAAACCGGAGTGAAGGAGTGCCTACAACATCCTGCCAGTAAGCTGGATCACAATCCTGGCTGGGGTGCCATCCCATCGTAACCCCACAAGGAGAAAGAGGGGAGCCCAGGGCAGAGGACCAGGCTCAGGAAACAGCTGACGACTCTCCCAGCTCTTCTCCAGCACTCACCATCTCTGGCCAGCCTCTACTCTGCTCTCAGAATTCAGCTCAAAGTCTTGTCATTAAGACAGAAGTGTTAGGTTCTTTCTGTCCAAAGCAAAGACTAGCGGAAAACTCAAGACTCGAGGAAGCAATGGGCGCAAAGGACCAGTTATCCACGTGACGCACAGCCTCCTCCCACCTGAGACCACAACAACTAGACAGCGTCTGCCTAGCAACCACGGCTAATCCTCTGAGCAGGGGCACAACAGAGTATTTCCGTGAAAACGGGAGGGAAGTGTACAAGAGAACTCACATTCATTACAAGACTAGACTTGCCTGACAATGAGCAGAGGCAGCACAGTGTGTTATGTGTCAGGCTGTTAACTGTTAACCAAAAGGTTAGCAGTTTGAATGCACCAACCTCTCTATGTAGGAAGATGGGCAGTCTCCTCCTACAAAGATTTATAGCCTCAGAAATTAAAAGAAGGTCAAGATGAGTCATCGTTGACTTGACGGGAGCAGGTCCGGTTTGTGGTGGGTTTTGTGGTGGAACTAAAGCCACTCAGAGCCATCTCCCACCAGGTGACTCCGGCCTATAAGATGAACCATGGCACCGTGAGGGATGTGCCCAGAAACAGAGAAGGCAGAAGGTGCAGGGAAACTGAGGACCCCAGGGCGGACATGGAGAGAGTGCTGACACTCCGACAAGACTGTTATCAGGATCAAATGACAATCCGTGTATGAAATTATAGAACAGAACGCTAGTCTGCTGTGTAAACACATTCACCTGAACCACAATAAAATGTGTAGGTTTTTTACAAAGTCATCTTAAAGAGACATAAGCCAGTAGCAGCCACTTCCTCAATTCCTCTCTCTCCTGAACCCAGGGAATGGCAGTCTCCCCTAATGACGACGTGAAAAGGTCCTCAAACAGCCTTTCAGCTACCTGTCCCACACCCCGGGAATGGCAGCCCACCCTTTACTGGTGTGGATGGTGTGAAGAGGTGCTCACACGCACCCCAGGAATGGCAGCTGCCCCTACAGTGTGGATGGTGTGAAGCGGTCTTCAAATGTGGCCTGTCTACCCTGACAAGAACCAACGCATTCACCCTCTGGAGGAGCCCAACCAGCCTTTAGGAGAAGGCAGAGAAAAGCCCCAGCAAAAGAAAAGTGACAATTATGGGTGCTGGGTATCACGGCTGTGCTCAGAAAAGGTGCTTTGGCACAAGGTGCCCGTCCCTCAAAGATAAGTGAAACCATCTGTGGATGAGGTGATATGTAACTTATGGTTATTAATTAGTGTATCGTTATAATGTCATGGCTACTGCTGCTCTGAAAAGCCCTTCTCATTCTCTCTACCTCAGAGCCTTTAGTTATCTCACTATATGCTGCCCAACTGTAGGTGTTATCCCAATACAACTCCTTTTCTTGGGTGGGAGGAAAATGTGCAACAATGAATGAATAAAAACCCAAACTTTCAATGAAATCACAGTTTTAAAAAAATGAAAAATAAAAAACCAAGCAATTCCTTTTCTTTTTTTTAAAAAAAGGAAAGGTTGTCTCTTGCTAAAAGGCCTCAGCGACATGCAAGGTTGTTGAGGACATGTGGGCTCTGACACCTCTACACTCGGGCCCAGCTCCTGCTTCGGTCTCTTCCATATCCAAGTTCTGTCCCCACAGAGCTCCGTGTCTGGGCTCATGTATGAAATGGGCTTAGTGGTACCCCCACCTCACAAGGCTTAAGGAGCCAGGCTTGTAAAGGGCTTGGCACAGGGTGGCCCATAGAGGGCACTGTGTACCTGTCTTCCCCATGAAGGCAGGGAATGAAGTCTCAGCATCTGGCATCAAGACTGGGAGGTGGCAAGGCTCAACCACACTGTGAATGGACGAAGGGACGGTAGTGACTCCTTTACTTATTTCATCCTCAAGAAGATAAAGGAATTCATGTCTTCAATCAGGGGCTCTCAAACACCACACCAGAGTTTTTCCAGGGAAGGTGGACACAGGAGTCTGTTTATGTTCATATATATATATATATGTGTGTGTATATATATTTTAAACAATCATCTCAGACATTTCTGATGCACAACTAGATTTGGAAACAATTGATCTAAATCAAGAAACCGAGAGAAGATTCCATCATTTGACAATCTCCTTATTTTGCAATCTGGCCTCTAGGAAAAGAGGGAAAACTATCAAAGTAGTTGAAGTGAAGTTTTAAAAGTTTAGCAGAAAATAGCCCTGGGAAAGAAAGATGCAGGAGAACAGGAGCCGAAGCAGAAACTATCCTGCTATTTATTACAGATGAGAGAGGGAAGGTGCAGGGGCACATGAACACTCGGCAGTGAGTGCTGAAACTGGGACCAGTGACAAGGCGTTTATCAACAGAGATACACAAGAAGCAAGAGGTAAGTCACTGATGCCAAGAACAACGGACGTAGAAAGGTCAGAAGGTGAAAGAAGAAAACGACTTATTCCACAGGGAAAGTCACAAAAACCTACCAACCAAGGAGTGGAGGCATCCAGAAGGGCATGCAAAACAAGCCGAAGGAGGAGAGCTCCAAGAAGGGGCTGAGGGCAGGAGAAGCAGATACTCCAGGGCCATCCCCCCCAGCAACCCCACACATCCAAGGCCACCCCCCAACAAACTCCACACATCCAGGGCCAGCACCCCAGCATCCCACGTCCAGGGCCATAACCCTCAGCCCCCCTACATGTCCAGAACCATCCCCCCCATACATCCAGAGTCATTCTCACTCCAGCCTCCGACATATGCGAAGACATCCCCACTCCAGCCCCCACACATGCAGAGGCATCCCCACTCCAGCCCCCACATGTCCAGGGCCAGTCCTACTCTAGCCCACACACAAAGCAAGACACTGGCTGGACAGCTCGCCTCACCTCCACGAGGTGGGCAGCATGAAGCAGGAGCACGAGAGCACATGCAGCCCACGCCAACAACACTGGGAAACACGTTCCTCGAGTCTGGGGACCCCAGGGCAGCTCTTGGTGTCTGGCCCCATCTCTAACCATGGGGACCCAAACACCAATCATCTCAGAGCACCAGCAAGTCTGAATGTTTATGTGACGAGAGACAAAGGTGACGTCAACCATTCTCCAGTGCTGGCTCTCCACAAGTGATTAATAATAATTAATTATTACTATTAATTAATTGATGATGGTGGTGGCGGCGGTGGGAGGACTATGATCAGAGGTGTGCTCTGCCGAGTGGAGCAAGTGCAAAGAGGCTTAGACGACATTCTCTCCCCTCCCCTCCTGCACAAATCAGATGGACTATTAGGACCGGGAATTGAAGGCTGGGTCCAATGGCTGTGACTGTGGCACATGTGCTACAGACACCGAGACTGGAGGAACAGCACAGGCCCCTGCAGACACACATGGCGCCGCCGCCAGTTATCCAGACACACCGCATCAGCCCACAGGGAAGGTCCTCACACCCCCGAGCGAGCCTCCTGCTCACTGAGAACCCACACCTGCCCAACCTTCCTCCTGCCTCTTTCCGTTCTCACCCGATCCATCTTGAAATTCCGCCCCAGCACATTTTTCTGGTTGGCATCTACACCATCACAGCTGGACAGGAACTCCGGGAGGAAGGCCGCAAAGAAGCCATCAAAGTCGACGGAGGCCATGTTGTAAATGGCGATGCCGATCTCCTCCTGCAGAAGGTCGTGGGACTTGTGAACCAGGACCTGGAGCAGCACATTCACGAACTGGAACAGCATGGTGGTCCGGAAGATCTTCTGCACACAGAGACCCAGGTGAGAGATGCTGTGAGGGCCTACCCGCATCCCCGGGGCCCTCCCAGGCCATGCCGACTCAGCAGAGGAGCCTTCCCAAGAGCAACAGGGCTCTCACCTTGTGGTAGAGCTTCTGCTTGGCGTTGAGTGTCTCCAAGTAGAATAGATTCTGTTTAAATAGGTGGATGTCAGGCTGGAGAAAGGACTGTCCAAAAGCCTAAGAAATAAAACCACCGAATGAGGAACAGCACTGGCACACCCTTAAATCACGCTCCTCGTCTCCCTGTGCCACAGGCTGGGGTGAGGACCCACTGTCTAACTCTCTGGGCCTTTGGAGCACTCTGTTGGTCTTGGCTCCTTCACCTTCCCAACTCGAAAACCCTTTATTTTGGCCTCATCTTGCCTCTTGAGATAAATCTCTAGATCTTTCATGGGACCTGGCTTTGAAGCAAGAAGCTAACAACTTTAGTCAAATATCTCGGCAATCTTAGACGACACCAACATCTGCCTGTTCCCCTCAAGTCAACCAGTCTGCCCCCTCTAGAAATCACTCCTCTCCTTGGCAAACCACAAGTTCTTCGAGCTCTCGGGTAGTGGAACAAGGCATGTCAGTCTGCCACTAAGTCTTAAAAGCCATTTACAAGAGAGAAAAGGAGCAGACACTTAAATAATCTAAACTTAAGTCCAGATGGGGTGGTAGAGATGGAAGGTCAGCTAAGTGCTCAGGGAAATCCTAGGAGTAGCATGTGTTTTCCAAGAGAGGAAACTTCCACACGTGTGTGTGTGGGGTGTGTACATGCACTGGCGGGGGGCTCAGGGGTAGAAGAGGAGAAATCCCTCTGGCTTCCTGATGACGAAAAACAGAACACGCTTAGCCCTGATTAGAAAAGCTGTACAGCTGAAGGCAGACCCCCGGGAGGCCCGAGAGCAGCTACAGCTTCCTCAGCACGGCCGTCAGCTCGATGAAGTCAGCACCAAGGCTCTGCACTCACCCACGAGCTTCATCCCGTGTGACCTCAAAGTACGGAGGGCCGTCCTCAGGGTACAAACATCCGACTACAAACAACTCCTACCTGCCTTTTAAACCCAATCTGTCACGGTGGGGGAAGCAAAATGGGAGCAAATAAGTGGATGAACAAACCGAGGCTCCAAGAAGTTAATTCAGTTCAGATCCTAAGCAGAGCTGAATTTCAGACCTGGGACCACAGAACTTCAAAGACCAGTGTTTGTTATGGTGACAAGGTTAGAGAAAGTAGGACCATATGCCAGAGGAGCGAGCCAAGTGACCAAGAGGCCAACGGACCCAGAGGCTACACAGAACGAGGCTCATCTCGTCCCGGCTGCACTAGCCCTGACGTGTTACCTGCATGATGGCACTGAACTGGGGCTCATTCTCCATCTGCTCCTCAGCAATCCCCCTCTGGACACTGGCCAGGACACTGGACTTGAAGAAGTACCTCCAATTGTGATGGAGCGTCCGGAAAAGCAGCTCGAACAGCTCGGCCTTCACATCAGGGGAGGGACGCTGTGGAGACAGGCACAGAGCCTTCAACCCTTGTCTTCCTGCTGCCTAGGCCTGGGCCCAGCCACTCAGCCTGGGCGCTGCCACAAACAAGCCCAAGAGACGCCTGCAGCCGGCCAGGGTCAGCACTCCACCACACGCCCATCATTTTCTGCTGTGAACTACAGAGCCTCTCGAGGCAGCAGCTCAAACCAGGAATGCTTCAGCAGACGAGGCCCATGTCTGCAACAGAATGCAGGGGTCACGGCCAAGGGGGCCCTGTTCTGATGCAAGTGCTCAGCTTTTTAAGTGAGGTTAAAAGGCTTGTGAGTGGAAGAACAATTAGGAATATGGATTTTCTGTTCTCCAGGCAGCCATCTGACCTGTGTTGTCTGGGTTGTGCTGTTCCTTTTTCTGAGGTAAAAAAACATCTCAGGTATCTCAGTCTTACACAATCTCTGAAGCTACAAATTAGATGAAAATGACTTAAAAGCAGTTCTGTCCTCTCCAGAAGAGGAGTCTACACTTACAGAGCACTTAGGACGCACAGTTGAAGGAAGCCTCCAAGAGGAGGTCGAGCAATTCACTAATTACTCCCGGCCCGCTTCCTCTGTGACTGGCAGCTAGGACTCCAGGAGGAGAGGTCAAGAGAAAGAGGAAGGGCTTGGCAATATTTTCTAACCTAACCAAAACTATGTCCAAATCACTGGAGAGTAGACGGCTTCTATTATCCCTGATGTCTCTACAGAACTGAAAATTAAAAGTCCCTCACTAATTCAACTCAACCTTGATTAAATGGAAATAGAGTCCAGAGGTCACATGCTTCCACAGCAGGGATCCTTCCTAAACTAAAACACTGGGAGTTCTGTTTGAATGGCTCTGAGAAGGTGCCTTACCATCTCTGTACCTATGAAGATTTTTAAGAAGCCTCAGGGACACCATGATTTAGTGCTTAACTACTAAACAAAAGGCTGGTGATAGGAACCTATCCGGTCCCTTCCAAGAGAAAGACCTGGAGATGAGTTTCCGAGCCGACTACACAAAGGGAGCTCAGTGCAGGGCTGCTGTGGGGACCGACTCCACACCACCTGAGAGCAATGAAAGTTTGTAATAAAAAAAAATTTTATATTTGCAATAGATGGACATTTATATGGCTTCTAACTTTTCGCTACTATGAACACTTCTGCAAGGAGCATTTCTGGATCTCTGCTTTCACAACTTTGGGGCAGGTTTACATGGAAAAAGAAATTGCCAGGAGATGTGCTGGTTCTAAGATGCTCTGGTGGGGAGTCAATCACACATACCACTGCTGACCAAAGGACTGCATCGAGGGCTCCCGAACCCCCAGAGGCCCCGTGGGAGAAACACAGGCTGTCTCCTCACACTGAGGCTGACAGTCAAGACACCCAGGAAGGGTCACTGGGAGCCGAAATCAACAGCAGTGAGAGGGCCTTCTCTAGCTGGTGTTAGGGTTTGGAGTGGGGGAGCAGCACGCAGCTTCCACAGGAGCTGGACCACTCAGCATTCCCATCAGCACCAGACACAAAAGACACAAAGACAAAACCCCACTGTCTCAGAGCAGATTCTGATCAGAGTGACCATATCCTCACTAACGGGTGCTATTTTCTGAGCTCTTTAACTGTCTCCCTGTAACGATACAAGTGGGAGTAAGATGAGCTTCCAGCTTTTCAAAGAGCTCTGGTGCCCAGTGGGGAAGGAGTTGTGCTGCTAATCCCACGGCAGGCAGAGTGAACCCACTAGCTACTCTGAGGGAGAAAGATGGGCAGTGTCCACTTCTGCAATCTACGGCCTCTGAAAACCCAGTGGAAGGTCAGCTATGAGTCAGTTTTAACTCCGTGGCACATAACAACATCTTTAAAAAATGCAATTTTAGAGAATTTGTTAGCAATTAACAAGTTAACCGTAGAACACACTGTGTTTTCTGGATATTTCACTCCCTCCCCAGTCACGGAAAGGGAGGCAGTCCCTTAGCCCCACTTACCTCAGCAATGATGGGGTACACCTGCTCCATGCACAGGGAGATGATGTTGGGGAGGAAGGGCTTGAACACCTGGACAGGTTCCTGAACCACCACCTGCAGGATCTTCAGGAACTTCTCCACCACACGACAGCCCGTGCTGCCCTCATGGAGGATGCTCTCGGCCAACTGCTCTCTACAGACAGGAGGAGAGCACACCATTCACTGTCCGGAATGGAACTGGACGTGTCACCTAGGTTAGGCCAGGATGCTCAGAGGTTTGGTGGTTAAGTAATGATCTAACAGCTGTAAGGGATTAGGGTGAGAGACAGCACTGCTAACTCAGGTCATAGCCCTAAGCTGATGTAAAGGGAACTTCCCTGGGGTGTGATGTGCACATAGAAGACAGAAGTGAGCAGAGGAAGGACCCGACCACCACCAAGAAAGCAAGACAGCAGCATAGCACGTACCTTGGGCTCTGGGTTTCTGTGCTAAGAAGCTATTAGACCTAAGGGGAGATTGATGTCAAAACACACAGGGATATCAAGGGATTCTGGGCTCATAGACGTTAAAAGGAGCCAAGGACTTTCCCCTACAGTCAAAAGACAGAGACACTGGTGCTCTAGATTTTGGACTTCTAGTCTCCTACAATGTGTTTGGTAAAGCCATTCACTTGTAGTATTGATAGAGGAGCACTAAGTAACAAAGACAGTAACAAAGGAGGTGTCGGCACAGGGACAAGAAGAGACACCAATGTGGTGGTGAGTGAAGAAGAGATGCAAACAGCCATACGTCTCAAACAGGTCCACGACATTCCCCGGAACTCTGCTTACCTGGTAAACATATTGAGGAAAGTCTGTATAATCTGTTCGGTGAAAGGCACGCCCATCTGTACTCTAAGGCCTCGAAACAGAGTGAGGAAGAAGCTCAGCATCTCATCAGTCACGTCTAAGTAAAGGGATGAAGTGAAAGAACAAAAGTATGCACACAGGGATAAACAGGATCCCGCGTCTCTATCAATTCTCCTTTGCAATCTGCACTACCCGTCTCTCAGGCCTCCAAATAGAAGACATTTTGCCCATACCATTTGAACCAACAACGGAAAGCAGAAAATGAATAAGGATCGGCTGAGAAACCACTCTGGTACAATGAACTTCTGCCTGATGGCCTGCTATAAAGAAATGAAGGCTGCCTGGAAGCCGACCTTCACTGCCCAACACCTGGCAATGTTCGGCATTTTCACTGCAGATGGATTATTTTGTGCTTACACTGATGAAACCATTCAAACGGGTCACCACCTGAGTGCCTGAGCCATTTCTCTCCATGACCAATAATCTCTGCAACTGGGTCAGAGGTTAAGTGGCTAAAAGTGGATAATGAGGGTCTGTTCAGGCTGCCTGGCCCTGGTCCATTAAATGGATTATTAAGTGAAGAAAACACTGGTTACAATTAGTGCAGGTGCACTTCCTAACCTTGGCAATCATCCTGTAGAGGAAGTTTTAGCTCCAATCGGACACATTCTGTTTATAAAAGGCAATCAGTGAATCGCTACAAACCTAGATGACCCTGATATTCCTCATAGGACAGACAAGACCTAAAGGTTCTTGTGAGCCAGGCAAGGACATCCACAGAGCTAGAAAGCTTTGAGCAGAGGCAGTGAGGGAAGCTCAGACACACACTTCCTTGCCATGTAAGTTAATAACACTTAACAGAAAGGCTCTTATTCCCCTTTTATATAACGCCCTCTTAGTCATGTCCATTTATGTCCCATACCGGAAGAAGGCAAAGACTTCAAGTCAGACATGGGGCAAGAGGTCTCATGTGACGGTGTGACAAGCCCAACATGAAACAGTGCAGAATGTTTCCAGGGGCCCTGGCCCCAGAGCCCCTGTGAGCCCTTCTGCTGTTAGGGCTGAGTTCCCTTCACTGCAGCCCTGAACCTACAGACGTGAGCAGTGACGTGGGCTCCAGCTAGCACCAACCCTGGGGAGGCCTCGGAGCTGGCCCTACCTGACTGATGGATGAAAGCTGGGAAGAGGACCAGGGAGACCTGGACAGACTCCTGCAGCGACTGGTAGCAGATCTGCCGGGACTTGGTGGACTCCCCAGAGATATTCTCCACAATATCTTCTAAGACACCCAGTGTCTGGTGGATGATCACTTTGGCTGCAAATCAAGATTAAGGTGCCTGTTACGACTCATCTGAGGATGATGGGCATAAAGAAATACGGCAAGTGGGAGGAAATTTGCAAAGGTATTAGGACAATCACACAGAAGTCACGGAAAGGCAACATAAAGTCTCAAGATTAAGTTATAAATCCTTCCCCATCCTTCTCTCCTTCCACATAATTTTGTTTCTTTTTTGTTACCGCCAGGACTGCAGTTCCCTGCCTGCTAACTTTTATACCCTCTACTCTGTCTCCATCCACCTGAAACAAGTCCACAGAGGGGAAAAAAAACCGATCAAAATTACTCTCAGGTTAGATGTCTTAGACTTATGACTATAATACAGTGAACAAATAGATGATCAAGTATGTGTTACAAGGTGATTACCACAGATAAGAATGGGTAAATGCAAATGAAAATTTTCCCTTTAATTCTAGATAGGACTCTAGCTTGGACAACAAATGGTGCTATGTTTGGAAAAGAAATTGCCTGCTTAGCTCTTAGACCTGTAGTCAGACAATCTATACGGTAGTTTTCAGTACGTCATATGCTATCAAGCTGTTATTCTCTCACATCTATGAGCAAGGTGAGGATTCCAACACTGATAAAGGAGTTCTTTACGAATCCCATCCAGCACGTTGGGAAAACAGAAGCAGGGCAGACCAACAAGGCAGCAGTCTGAGGAAAACAGGTAAGCCCTGGGATCAGAGAATCCTGTTAGGATCTCTACAAGGTCACTAGTACAAGGTCACTAGATGGCTCCATGACTAGCAGCAGGATCCTTATCTGTACACTGAGAGAGCCACCAGCAACATCTGCAGGGCTGCTGTCAAGATTAGAGACAAGGCTGAGAAGGAATCTAGCAAAGTACCTGCTATGAGTGGCCAGGTCAGTGAAGGTCTCAGAAGCAGGTCTAATGGAGTTTCTTTTCCTTTGAGACTTTGGGCTTCCCACCAGCTTCCCCAAGGCGACTTCCAAGCTCAAGCTGAGCTTAACACACTTAACCCTGACTGACCTTCCCTGGTCAAACAGCCCCATGGAGAGTTCTGCCTGCCATGAAGCAGCATGCTGGACTGCCCTGGCCCTCAGAGCTCCCCAGTGCCTGTCCGGTTAAGCCGCTTCTAAGGAAGTGCATAAGAGAAAGAACTTCGGAAGGAATGAACCCTGGATCGCCTCCTGGCGCTGCTGGACAGATACTGAGTCATCTTCTGGTACAAAAACGCTGACATCACCACGTAAGCTCACAAAGCTAAGCCTGAGGTAAACAACAGCTTCCTGCAGGCCCTGTCCACAGTCACACAGGGAAAGGCGACAAGCACAACCATACTGCTGAGCCAATCACTGACAGCTTGCACACACATGGACTTTAACCAAGCCAGGAAAATATGGGAGACAGCCGCTTCTCAAGAATATAGAGGCACATGTAAAATAGCTTCAAAAAAGCTAGCAGACTCAAGAGATTAAAAATCCAATCTCCTCAATTTAAGAAAATGGAAACAAAGAACTAAGCAAGTCACTTACCAAGATGTACAAGTGAGAATGTGACAGCACTGAATGAACATACATAACAAGAGAATGGAAACATAAATCATGGTGTTATGATAGGATGTTATAAAATCATTAAACAGAAAAAAAAACAATGCTTTTAAGGAAGAGGCAAAGAGGTACCACGGTTAAGCAAAGGATCTGGAGCCATTCTGCTTAAATGACACTCCTGAGCCCTTCTCTGTCCCTAGGATCCTAGGCAACTCAGCTTGTGAAGTCTTGGGGGGGAAGCCATTTTTACAATGGACAGAATGGCAGATACTGCCCAGAAGAAGTGACGGAATTGAGCTTCACCAATAATGGACAAACAGAAACAAGACTGTAGGAAGCACAAACCACTCCCCACATGCCATATGGCCCAAAAAGTACGCAACCCGAGTATAACCAGAAGGAAAAGAATGTGACAAACTCAGACAGTAGGGGACAGTGCTCAAGAAAACGGGTCTGGGCCCTTTAAAGGTGTCAGTATGACAGAAGACAGAAAATGGACTACTGGTGGCCTAGTGGGTAGGGAGTGGCACCGACAACCCAAAGGCAGGGAGTACAGAACCCCCAGCTACTCCTTGGGAGAATGACGCACAGTCTTCCTCCTGTGTAGTTTACAGCTTCTGAGAACCTGCTGGAGGGTCAGCTGTGGGTATGTTCCAAGTCTACAGAAACAGTCTAAGGCTTCGGGTGTTTCCACACACCCGCCCCATATTAAAGGAGAGTAAAGAGATAAGACAGCCAAATATAAAATTTTGGCTTGTAGCCTAGGTTTTTAAAAGGAAAAAAAACCACACACAAGAAACACCCTGTATTTTACTATCAACTGGGAAATTGTGAATGTGGTCCATATGTTCAATGACAGTATTACAACAATGTTAAACATCTTAGTTGTGTTAACAGTACCTTGGTTGCATCAGAAAATATGCTGTTTTCCCACATAGAGACATGTGTTACGTATTCCAGGGTGAAGTGTCAAAGCCTGTAACTGTAAATGGCTTGGAGTAAAAGCAGAATGCGTGCGTGTGCAGGAGTGAGGACGGGCAGATCCCACTTTTTATTCTTTCACAATCACGTAGGTTTGAAGACATTTCAAAGCATAAAGTGGGGATAGTAAAAAGGAACGTTCCAAGTGTATGGCATAACAATAATTAGGCACACTTCACAGAGAAACACTCACTGTCGTCAAGTCCATTCTGACTCGTGCTGACGCTACAGGCAGAGGAGAGCTGCCCCGGGCAACGTGTACGTCTGGAGGAAGACTAAACGAGTAACGTCTACTGGGTCCTCAGCCCAGCGCTGGGGACAGGGTAAACACTATAAAAATGCTAACTATGTAAATCTTAAATAATATTCACTGCAGAAATCACTGATGCTTCCAGCCAGTACTTTCAGGAAATGAAAGCATCATACTCACCCACCACACTGAAGCGAGCCGTGGCCGTGTACTCCGTTCCAGCCAACAAAATGCGAGTTAAAGTGGTAAACATCACTTCTAGCCAAAGTTTGCTACACAATCCTCCCTTCCTGGGACCTCAGGGATCATGTAAACACTCGCTCAAACGCTGTCTTCAGAGCCTGAGCCCTGAGGAACTACAATGAGCAGAACTAACGCTGGGCATGAGGAAGGAACAATTCATTTCTGTACTAAACCATGAAAATCTTTGGAGCTACTTGTTACCACATAGCATAACCTAGCCTGTACTGACTGACATAATTATCACAGAAGGAAAGAAGACCTGCGCATAACACACAATTCCCCAATAGCCATGTGACTTGTCCTAGTAAATTTTCCTAATCTTTTCATGCAGTTTCCTCACAGATAAAAACCGTAATTAAAAGTATCTAAAATTCCTCGGACTGATCTAAGATTTTAAATGAATTAGCCAAGCAGTTGCTACTGAGTTTACTCTGAAAGTAAAACACTAAGAACCAAGATGAGACAAATACCAGGCTCTGAAGACTGATGCGACTCTTTCAGAGACTCTGAAATATTTATATTTAAGAAACATTGAAGATAATTTCCTAAGTCAAAAGCCAGAGTTCTTAAAATTCCTTCTTCCTAGTTTACAGAGACGAATGGTTTTGTTTCCATGTCTATCTGAAATGGATCACTAACCCGAGGAGGATGTGTTTCACTGCTCAGAGGCACCATCCAGTGTCTTCTATAGACTGTTCCCCACCCTTTGTGACTACTCTTGTCACGATACTCACTGTCATCCAGTGGCACCTTTCTCTGTGGAGTGACAGCATCGGGCTTCAGGTTGCGATAGTCTCTGGAGAGTGCGGAGATGAGGCTGGCGTGGTTGATGGAGCGCACAGGCCACTGCTGTTCATTCTCAGGGAGGTTTGGCCATGGAAGCAGCAGGATATTAGAGAGAGCTCGGCACACCAACACCTGAGCCTGGAGGGGACCAGGGATGGCATCATGCATCAAGGACAGCAGAGAGCAGAGCAGCCCCACCTTACGGCCTCTGGCACCCACTGTGCACTCTGTGCATCCAAATGCGTTTTGGATAATTCAAGCCTGGGGCTCTGGTTCCAACTCTAAATCAGCACAGGAAGGGAAAACAGAGGCACTCTTCCCCTCTGATGCCTGAAGCACTCCTGACAGACAAAATCACACTGCAGATGTTCAGTCTAACTTGTCCCTCAGCTACAAGGCTTTCAGGGAAATCTCTTCTCCTCAATTTGCCTTTGGCTTCCGGTCAGCAGCACCACATCCCCAAAGGACTGTGCTGACTCCTCACCTGGCTCCTGTCTGTCTGCTTCCAAATATTCAGCCTCCTAGGATAATTCCAAGAGAAATGCACCTCTGGAGTCTCTAAACTCCAGTAAAGCAAACAACAACATGATCTCTGGATCATCTCAAACCACAACCACTACAAGAGGATCCCACGATGCTGGCCACACTTCCAGCTCTCCAAGGCCACTGAGAGGCACCTCTCTTGCGGAACCAGTCCATGTCTGACTGTTCCAAAGGTAAAACCTGGCTGACTACTTGACTTTGGAAGGACTGACAAAAGCTCAAGGAGGCTGCATCAGTGTCACCAATCTAAGAAACCTGGACGTGCAGGCCTGTCCTGGAAGCTCTGAGTGCTCTGGGGCCCCGTGGGCTTGAGTAACAACAGCTCTGAGGATGCTGGGATAGCCGGGGCCTCACCTTGTCGACCAGCCGCTGGGCAGAGGCGTCAGTGATTCTGTTGAACACCTTCTGGACTGCGGGGATGCTGATCAGAAAGACTGGCCGCACGGTGGTGGCGAGAGAGACGAGTAAGTGGCAGGCAGACAGGAGCAACTTGTCTTGGACCTGGGAGGGAAGAGGACGTGTCAGTTCCCTGCATCCCCGAGACAGTGGTAACAGAAGAGCTTGGAAAATGAGCCCTTCTCAAAAGCGCAAACAGCTTAGTATGGTTCATAGCTACCAAATTATACCACTTCAGCAATATCCAAATAAATCTTTGCTATGCTGACTCTGAGCAGCACGATTCTCAATTTTGTTTATTGTGTCCACAGCTTCTGCCCTCAGTCAGTATTACCACCTCCAGTTTACACCCGGTCACAGCCATTGGGATGTTTGAACTCAGCCACTTCAACCCTACAGTGGCTCCCTATCAGCTATGAAAACACATGGCAAGCTCCCGACCTGCAATTCAAAGTCCTCCCCCTTCCAACAACTTAGGATTCTTCACCTCGCTTCTCTTATTCCAACAGAGGCAGGATTTCTCTTAAGTTCCTCCTCCCATCTCTATCAATTAAGCAATCCTTCATCTCAATGTGCCTAGCAAAAAACTGGATCATGCACTTTCCTAACACCTTCAAATCAGTAGAAGAGATGGACCGTCATAAACACTGTCCACCAAAACAGCAGTGGGCCACGTAAAAGCACTGAGGAAAGAAACAGTCCTTTCACTTCCTTGAGTCCCCAAAGCCTTTGCTGTTTCAATACCTTGGAGCTGATCAGAGGTGTGATTGCATCCATGGTAGTGGAGATCAGGGACACAAACTGTTGTGTGTTCTGCCGATGAACTTCACTGTAGTACTGGGCTAACCAGTGAGAATAAGCCTGGAGAGCCGCCAACGACTGAGCATGTCTGTGAGGAGGAAAGAAGATGCAAACGTTGACATGGGCTAGCAGTAAGCCCATTTCCACATGAGCTAAGAATGCCTTTCTCTGTGTGTGGATAGTTTCAGAACACGTGGGACAGGGTGGAAGTCATTTACGTGCACACAGAGGACCCCAAAATGACAAGACTCATCACCTCAATATTGTCACCAATGGTGACAATACAGTGGGCAGTCAGCAAAGGTATACTGTTTCTGTGGAACCTTTCTGTGAAACATACATTCACCAGAAAGGATGTAGAGACTAGAAAAACAGCATCAAAGACTAAACAACAATGTGTCGACAGAGCAGGGTACAGCCAGCCACCAGATATAAAACCAAATCCCCTACCACCAGGACAACCTCGACACCTAGTGACCCTCTCCCAGACTTCCAAGGCTGCAAATCCTCATGGGGGAGCTTTCCCTGCCTCTAGCACTTTTCAAAATCACTACAGATATGTGAATTTTTTTTCCATGTGGTAGGCTAAACCCCTCACTCTTTCCACTGCCTTCAATTTACTGTGTTGACTATATACTCAGAATGTTGAGCATAACCAATTCCACAGCTTCGGCATGCACAATTCTGCATTTACATCAAGGGTATTCTTTCAAATAGGTAATCTTTCACCTCTTTCTTCCTCAATAACAGACTCACTGTCCCATAAATCTCTGATAGAATCTCTCCAGTTGTCAATATGATCTCATATAGCAGGCTCTTAAACAGCACAATGCCCAAGGCACAAATTCTTTACTAGTTAAAGTTATGCTATTTTTTGGCTTAAATGTTTAAAGATTATCTCATGGTATGCAGTTCAGAGACTCACAGAGCCTCAAGGGCTCTCAAGAAGAATTGAAATGGTTCTGGATTTTCCCCCCTTTGATCAGAACTCTTTTTTGAAAGGGAGCTGAGTGGAAATTTACAGCCAATTCATTTACTGTTCATTAATTTATCCACGCTTTGTTTCCTGACACTGGCTGCAGTCCCCTCTTCCATTCCCTCCAGAGTGTCCTCTTTTCCTGCCCCTCCCTGCCTTCTGAGGTTTGTTGGGGGTAAACGTTACCCTTCTGGTCTCATATGGTTGGTTGGCCTTCGGAACACCTTCCTCCTGGGCAGTATTATTTATCAATTAAATTGAAAGATTTAAGGTCTGACCTTAAAAGGTCAGTCAGCGGCTCTCTCAAATGCGTGTGCATACCCGCAGCTCCCCCCAACACACACACTCCAGCGAAACTGTCTAGACTTTCAGACTATAGGAAACAATTATATTTCTTGTGACTCATGATTAGTTAGGCCTCAAAACCAAGAAAACCTCACAACAACATAAAAAGATACTCCTCAGAATTACTGGCAAATTCTGAATATGGACCATGTATCAGGTATTATATCTATTACATGTTTTCAGTGTGGCAGTAAAATTGTGGTTATATAAGAGAAGAGTTATGTTACTTAGAACCTAAGCTGAGGGACTTATAAGGAAATTGGCATGTAATCTACAAAATATTTTCAAAGACCTCAGCATGTGTGTACACAGAAAGAAAAAAAAAAGCAAATGTGATAAAATGCTGCTAACTGGTGACTCCAGAGGAAAGGGATAAGCATTATAAGTACTTAGGCATTCACCTTTTTGGCTTGAACGTTTTCAAAATAAGCAACTGAATTAAAAGTATCAAGTATTCAAAATTTTTAAAATATAGATATTAGGAGTTTGAAATGCACAGTGTTCAAGTACCTCATTGCATTTAGAATCTAGTGCTCATTTTCTCTTTTACTTAAGTTTGGAAGTGATAAAATTAAAGTAATATCCCCATAAGAAAATGTAAAACCAAATAAATTAAAAAAAATATTAAAAAAAAAAGAAAATGTAAAACCATTCAGGTCAATAGAATCTTTTTCGATCATTTATCTAATCTCGAGCTTAAGAATATTCTAGAGTGAATGTCAGCAAATGTTTTCTGTTGAGACAGCAGAGAGAATATACATAAATAAAATACTGGGCCTTGTAGGCTATAGGTTTCTGTCCCTACTGTTCAGTTCTGGCAGTGTAGTGCAAAAAACCAACAACAGATAATACATAAATGAATTTACTGTGTTCCAACAAAAATTTACAAAAGTAGGGAGCAAGCCAGATATGGTAGAGGCTATAGCTCGCCAATCACTGTGCCGCTTTAGAGGAAGCCTTCTGGGGAATGTAGTCTCCAGACTCAACCCATTCTCCTGCCGTCTCTTGATCCTTTCCTAATGGTTTCCAATTGTCTCCAGAGGTTCTCAGAGTGTAGTCCTAGATGATCGCTTTAAAATAACTGACGTTCTCGTTCAATACACTAATATCATAGTCTAATAATCATCCTGCTATGCTGTAAATCTCTGAGGGAACGTGCTCCTTAAGGAATTCTGTACCCGACAGTTTCAGTCTCTGGTGTATGGGACAAGATTCACAAAATCCAATCACTTTACAGTGTATATCTCAACATGCCTATCCAGCCTTCTCTCCCACCATACAAATGTATCACCGCTTCTCTAAATGTGTGACTTTGCAAGACTTCTGTGCTTCAGTTCCTTCCTGGAATACCTACTCAATACACCCTCCACCTCCAGCTCTCACAGGCTCAACCATCCCCACCCTTTGACAAATAACAATCTTTTTCTCTTCCTGGGTGTGTAGTTGAGAGCTTTCTCCCCTTAATGGTAGCCACTCATGTGCCTGCTAATTTTCACAAAACTCAGGGAAGCACACAAGGTCTTTCTAGAGACTGCATAAGGCACCGAACTCTATACTTACACATCAATGAGGTCAGGTTTCAGTACTGACGGCACAGCTGTCTCAATGTTGTACAATTTTATCTGAGACCCATACAGAGTAACTTTTACCAATCTGTAGGCAAAGAAGCAGATCAGAAGAACATTCAGTTAATGGACTAAGAAGGACAAGGAACTGATAAAGACCCAAGGACATAGCAGAAATTACTTTTTCATGAACAGAATCAAGACCAGAGCTTCCATTTATCTCTAAGAGATAATCTAAGACGTGCCTAAATATTATATAAGGATATCAATTAAAGGATTACTATGTCAAAGATTTTTAAAATAATATAAGCATTCAACACAGAGAAATAAAAATGTAAGAGTGACAACAAAAAAACATGGTTAGAAGAATATTTAACAACTAATATTTAAAAAACTTGAAGCAAGAAAAGGCTGTTAAGAAAAAAATATGTTGTGTACTGTTGAGTCAGAAATGACTCATAGCTGCCCCTCCAGCAGATTTTCAGAGGCTATAAATCGTACGGGAGGAGAATGTCCATCTTTCTCTTGTGGAGCAGCTGGTGAAATTCTTATTACCTGTCTGAGGGCTGACAGTACAATTTCTTACCATCAGGCCAACAGCTCTCATAGTAAATACATATTGTGTGTGTATATATATATATAAAATACATCCCAATTTTGTTATAAAAATGTTTGTCTGATAACAGATGAAGAAAAAACAAAAAGGCTGGAGCAATGTCCACAAGCTTGCCTGCTGGTTATGACCTCATAGGATGGAGTGAGTAAATTAGAAATGATTTGTCCTCCCAGCCATCCCAACCCCTGCCTACTTTCTAGTATTTTTAAATTGTCTACAAAGGCAGACCTACTTCCATTAGGCTGATTCTGACTCAAAGAGATCCTCCATCAGGTTTCTAAGACTATTATAAATCTTTACTGGAATAAACAGTTTATGTTCCTACCTCAGCAGCTGGAGTCAAACCTTTAGGTTAGCTGCCTGTTACATTAGACACAGTATCACCAGGACTTTTCAACTGTCTCTGGTAATAAATGAATAGACACAAATTGTACCACTTAGGGGGAGTTCCGCTAGTACTAACTCAGAAGTGGCACCTCTCTAGTGGGCTGGCATTCAACAGCGGTTCCACAGAAGAAGGGTAATCTCTTCCCAGATGATTTATAGTCTCGGAATACTTGTTAGAGGGTCAGCTATGAGTTGGATGACTTGACAGCAGTGAGTTAAAGGTTGATTTTGATTGTCTGAGGTTTTTTTAGTTATAAATAAGGAACACATAAGATTTTTTTTAACAAAAAAACCTACTCTTTTGACAATGAATCCTCCAATAAAATCTGTAATAATCAAGTCATCTTAGCTTTTATTTAAAAGCATATCTAGATATTTTGAATAGATATATAACATATTGAAAATGTTTGTATAATGTAGGTGCTAGCTAAATGGGTTTTTCCTATACAATTCTTTGAACTTTTCTTGATGAAACTACTAGGGGTGGGAAGCAATAAATGTTTCTACAATGAATTCTTTTTAAACTTCTAGCACAATCTTTCCAAAGCAAGCTGCTGAGCTTACCCGTTACTCAGGGTTCCCCATGCACAAATGAGCATTAAACTCAATTACTAATCACTCCACTGGGAAATGGAAACATCTCAAGTCTCCTTAGGACAGAAAATTATTCCTTTCTGACTTTGCCCATTTCACTCGGTGCCTGCTCTGTCAGGAAACCGAGGCTCTGGATTCCAGGGAAGACAGTGCCTTGTGCCTTCAGTCCAACAAATGGAGATTCCCAATTCTTGCTGAACCCAAAAACCAACTGGAATGCTTTGTTATCAATGCAAACTCCCTGGAGCTACCCCATGTCTGACCACAGAGTGAGGAGGAGTCTGGAAGTCTGCACCCCTGAAAAGCACGCAGAGGACCCTGCTGCATGTGCACCACATTCTCTAAAGTGTTCTTCACAGTGGGGAGACAAAGGAGAACTTTATTCTGAGTAGAAAATCAGTCACAAATTACTTAGGGTTGGTGAGCAATGAGAAAAATGTGCTTCCAGTTAATCAAGAAAAGAGAGTGAAAGAACCAAAGATTCTGAATTTCAGACTCAGGAGGGTAAGTGGGTTGTGATAGCTAAGAATCAAAACTGTTATCTCAAGAAGAAATATACCTATGTTCTACTAAGAATGGACTTCTAAATATATCTTTGAATAAAAATCTTTATATTCACCTATTGAATATTATGTAACCTTAAGTAAAAACACTGCTAGTCCCAGTGGCTAAGATCATGTAGCTTATCAAAATAAATCTCTCAAACTTAATTCTAAATGAAGATAGAACAGCAAAATGTAAATACTGACTCTATAAACCTAAACAACACAGAAAGGTATGTGAACTCAGTTCACCATCTTTGAGTCAGAATTCACTCGTACCTAAGAGCAGCCATTGGATTTGTACCACGTGCCTTTAAGTCGGCAACACAATTCCTTATCCACTAGGCCACCAGAGCTCCCACAGTGAAAGATGTGTAAGAACTTATAAAACAATGTCAAGATCTCTGATAAATCATTTCACTGCAAAACTGAGACGATTAATATGTTGCTTAATAAAGAATAAATTAAAACAGAGGATATTTTATCTACGAATTTCCCACAGAAGACATGTCCTACTGCATATGGAATGGGAAAAGGTCCACCATAGAAACAATAGGAAAACCATACTCCTGAAGTAGAAACACTAGTTTGGAAAGAGCATCTGAAATCAGGAAATTTGTTAAAGCCCATTTCAAGCTGTGTGGCCTGACTGGAGATACTAACAACTCCGAGCCACAATTTCCTCAATGACAAAACCATCTCTCAAAGTATAAAATAAATACACACAAAAATGTCTTTGAAAACTTTAAAATCCTGTTATACTCCTTTTTGTTTTTCACTCACTTTTCTTTTATAATGATTTGCTTACAAAGTTTGTACACACTGTGTTTCACACTATTCTTCATTCTATTGTGCTTCATACAAGCGTTCTCATGCATTATGTTTTATAAAAGTAATCACCATTGGACCTTGCCCATCATTAATTACCGTGTCTTTTTACCTGGATTTTCCCCTATTTCTTTCCCCTCCTCCCTCCAGCCTCCAAACTGTGCAACCCTATTAACCTCGCTTTAAAAGAACTCTTAGTTATCTAAAGGTAAGATGTAACAGTTAAAGAAAAGTATGATATGCAACTAAGTGGGTCCTGGGGTTGGTGTCTCTGTGTATTATCTGTGACCAATAAAATCAAGTGCCTTGGCTTTGGGCTGGCTTAACAACCACACAATTGTCTAATAAACTCAATGGTTATCTTAAAATGGTCTGAACTTCCTACACTTAAATTTGAAATTTTTTTTCAATATAAATTTGAATTTTTTAAAAAATTATTTTCTGAGAATATACTTGGCAAAATACATACCAATTCAACAATTTCTATAGCTCCCACTCAGTTCTTGTGCTTATTAGCCATCTAACCCTCCTTTCTAAACTCTTCCTCCTTCTTTAACATACTTCTTTGTTTCCTAAAGTTCTGGACTAATCTTTCGAGCTGCTATTGTCACTTTGATGCCAAGAGATAGGTGCAAAAACACACAATGCTCCAGGCAGACAGCCATTCCAAGTGATGATATGCTATTGTTTGGTTTAAAAAAGGACCCGAGGTGGGATTTTTGGCCTAAGGCTTAAAGATTATTTCAGGACAAATGTTGCCAGAGTTCATACAACCTCAATGGCTCCAGAAAGTCTGGATTCTCTAAGAATTTGAAATTCCATTTTGCACTTTCCCTATTTTGCCAGGATTTGTTTACACGTTGGACGTTCTAAGTGTATATGAAGGGAAAGGTGCTCTGGCTGCCTAGTGGTCAATACAGAGGCAAGTGGTTTTAATCCATCAGCTGCTCCAAGGAAGAAAGATGGGCAATTGCCTCCTGTGTGATTCACAACCTTTGAAAACCTGCTGGAGGGTCAGCTATGAGTCAATTCCAACTCAACAGTATGTAACAATCACCTAGGAAAGCAGAGTGACAGAGGACAAGGTACAAGAAAATGTCATTCAACACATAAAGCTGTAAACTCTCTTTGGGAACCAAGGTGAAGAAGTATTAAAAGGAACCTCATGATCAATAAGCTGGGAGCTGTTTCTCAGGCCAGTTTTAATTTCTTAGGACCCATTCAAGACTAGGATATCTCACACACACACCCCTCCAGCTGTCGACTTGGATAGAGTGTATTTCCTTCATTAACAGGACGTTCCTAATGTTTCATTATATGAGGAAAGGCACAACAAGCAACCACATCTGGTCATATCCCTTATAGCTACATACAAGGCTATCAATGAACTACAGCTTGTATTTACTAAGAGTTTTGCTATGAACTAGGCCCTGTGCCAAATGTACTGCCCTCAATTAATTCTCACACAAACTTAAAAGATAGTATTTCCACTCCATTTTACAGAGGAGGGACCAGAGAGATGAAGTCATTTGCTCCACATCAACAAATACATCATGGAGCTCAGGATTAACTGAAGCCAAAGTAGCAGCTCCTTGGCAATACACTGCTCCTCATACAAGCAGGTAAAACTGAGCTCTGAAAAAGAAATAATTCCGTGATGTAACAGCTAGCCTACCTCTCCACAACGGTGAAGGCATCGTTGAACCGGGCAGCAAACACATCACCGATAAAATACTCGGCTAGCCGGCCCACAGCCTGCAGCAGGGAGCTCAAATCTCTCAGGGAGCAGTGCAGTCGCCGGCAGTCATTCTCTGCTGTGATGTTCAACCTGTGTCCTGGAACACAACAGCCCAGACAGTTTTTCACAGCCACAACACACTTCAGTTTTCACTACAGTGCATGCTTTATCCAGATAAGCTGCAATTAACAAACCCAATGTACTTTCTCAAAAGCAACCCACAGGCTGTTCCCAGAAGTGAGCAGGGGGACCTCATAGTCTCCCCTGTAGCCATATCCACAAGTATGCCGAAGGCCAGAAGCAAGACTGACAGAAAAAGAGGAGGGACAGATGGCCCAGGGTATGCTACCATCGCTTGAACATCCATTCTCCTTGGCCCTCGTGTTTTAATACTGGCAGTTTTACCTACAAGGAAACACCCAGGGAGGCTCTCAGACACTTGCCCAATGCGGATCCTATTTCTAGGGCAGTGAGGACTCTAAGCTAAGTCTATGTAGCTCCAAGCTTGCTGTCTTTTCCATATGGCTCTCACTTGAAATAAGATCCCCTCCGCCCCCTGCTGAAAGGAATGGGGTACACTCGGGATTGCATCCAACAAGATCTTTAGGGGACAAAATATAGACTAAGAGGTACAGGGCTTGGATTCTGAAGACACAGATTCCCAGCCCCTTCCTGGCTCCCCACCTCATTTTACGCCTTATTATAAGTTTATGTTTTTCCATTCACAGGGATCTATAAAATAAAGGGTTAAATCGGAATATATAAAACTAAAATGTATTTATTCAACGTTTGTAATCCTAACAAAAGAGCTGGTGGTTTTCTAGGGCCTGAACTCTCCCTTCTTACTATCATTTCCTCAGTCTAAACAGGAAGAGTTTAAAGAACCTAAACAAACGACAAGTCACCTCGTGGCCCGTGGTTTGCTCTGCACACTGTCCACAAAGGATGTAAGCATTTTTAGGTCACAGGACAGACCTCTAAGCCTGATACAAGGTCCTCATCATCCATTAAAGCATAGCTAGAGTAAGTTAGCATTCAAGAGCACAAAGTTAAGCTGAGGCGATAAACAGAACAATCACCAGTCTGTATGTAGGGCACTTACAATCCCATCTCTATATTCAAGCCATTTCCCTCCTCTGACTCTTCAGGGGTTTACTTACAGTGGCCTTCCCACAGTGCTCTGCAATCACCTTCCTAGAACCGTATCTAAGAACCAGGTCTCCATAAGCAAAGTGTTAAACCCTCCAGAGATTTCCCCCAACATCCACAATTAGGTCTCTCCTAACTGCCTTTCTCCCTGTATTAGCTGAACAAACTGATAGATCGTTGTCAGATGCCCCAAGTATGTGAACTTCTCCTAAGCCTTTCTTTGCCTGGACGGTCCACCGTTCACTTTCTTCCCACTCAAACCTTGCAAATCCCTATTTTCTCTCAAGAAGGTCACCACTGTCATTTCTTCTATTAGGTCTATCCTCTCCATTTCCCAAACAGGGAGGACATTCTTCCATTCTCCATAGGAGATGCATAGGGAGAGATAAACAAACCAATGACAAGTTTCTCTCTTTACTATACTATGAACCCTTCAGTGAGTGACCCCCACCCAGCACAGTGCCTAGGGCAATACTTTTGCTGTTGACCGTAACCGTATGAATGAATTACTATAATGTATGTGCCGTCGAAGCAAGCACATTGAATTACTATAAAACAGTGAACTAGAGCAAAAGAGGAAGGCTGAAGAATTCATTTCTTCATACTACCTGCTGGAACATTCCTTTTTCTAATTTAAGGGTGAATATGGATAAGCATCATTTATCTGTAGCAAGGCTGAATACCTGTTAACAAACTGGCTGAAGATGCAAGTTTAATACCACAGATCCTATACCAGCTCCCAAGTGGTGAGGCTGGGAACAGAGCCTATGGCAGTTCCCAAGTGAGAATGTAGTATTCCATGGGCAGGAGCCTGGCAATGGCAGATGTCAACCACGGATGGGTCACAGTGGGTCCCATGTTGCCAAGGAACAGGAGAACCAAAAGAAGGGGCCACTCAGGGAAGGATGTCATAAGGGCAGAGCCAGTGACCAAGAGCAGCTCAACCTGCCCTGAAGTCCTGCTTCCCCCCACGTTCCACCTGGAAAGCTGTGTCTTGGTGCAGAAAACAGAATTCTCAGCCTCCAAGCTCTTCCACAAGGATGTCCTCAGGGCGACTGTCTAAGGTCGGTGACCCAGCTTTAATAGTCAGAGGAAGAGGACAGGCAGCCCGCACCACCAGCAGGACAGATTTAGGACAAACAGTGCCTTCGGAGGGAGTCCATCCATCTTTGGACAGGTTGGTCAGAAAAGCAGGAAAAATACTAGCTCCTGTAATTCCTCCCTATATATTCCTCTACCCTCGAGGGTAGTACACAAAACAAGCCTAAGTCTGCTCCTATACCCTCTTCCTTCAGACCTACCTTCCTTATCACTTCCTTCTAAATTGCCTTCATTTGTCTACCAAAGGGCAGTCCCCAGAAAAGCAAATTGCACGGAATTACAGTGTGGCTCTGTGTGTCTTTTAAGCGGCTGGTATTTGACCATTTCTGATTTTACAAAACAATTCCCAAGAGCTCTACTTAAGACCTATGTGCCACCTAAGGTTCACGTTTAGTAAAAATGCCGGCTGGCTTGTTCTTGCTCTATCTACGAGGCAGACAACTCAGAGACATTAAGTGCTCCCAGGCAAACCCTCTCTCTACAGCTTAGAGCCCCAGGACTGCAATCACGGAACCACGCTAGGCGCTGACTCAACCAGAGGTCAGAGTTCCCACTGGGAAAAGCTGTTGTCCAGATCTACGTCCATTTTCTTCTATTTGACTAATGCATAGATATTCCCCAGCAGCACAGAACATCTGCGAACTTAAATTTTCAGATAAGCGAATGGCAACATAAAGGTTTAGAGACAAACACGTTGATACTAAAGAAGTTTCATCTCCTCATAAACCAAGTCATCCAACCTAGACCATAATCAGGCTACCACATCTAAAGAGGACATCCCTGGGAAATCACTGCCCTAGGAAAAAATGTTATTATAAGTACAACTTACTTAGTCTTCTCCCTTTTTTTCAGAGAAGCCGGGAGAAGATAAGGCAAGAAGGAAGGAGTGAAAATTAGCGTCTGAAGTAATCCACTCAGAGAAAAGGCAGTCATAACGAAACCCAGTTAGAAGAAAGAATAGAAAGCCAAATGCCTAGTTACTGTAAATGAAAACAATGTCTCAGGTCAGAAAGCTTCCACGGCTAACGGGGAAGTTATTCAGGGCAGAATAGTGCCCCAGTGAGGAAAAGCTCAATTAGGAGTGGCAGTGGCCAAACACAAATCAGATACTGTAGGGCTACATGCAAGATACCAAGTGGCAAAGCAGTGAACCATGAGAGGATTTAATTCACAAAACATAGACAATAGCAGTGAGAGCCAAAGATGACTTCCCAGAGGCAAGAAAGGCCTAGTTACTGCTATGCCCCAGCCACACGTTTCATATTAGTGTCCACTGAGGATGCGGGCCAGTCAAGGCCTCTCTAGAAGGAAGAGCAGCCGTGTCAGAGCAACTAGTAAGAGGAGCCCAGTATCATCTGTACATTGATGCTCTAAGAAAATCAAAAGCAGGGGCCTTGTAGGCTTCAGTGCTGATCAAAATGTTCAACACAGCTGTTAGAAATGACTGCAGCACCAGAGGAGTGCAAGGATTTGGACTGACTCCCAACACACAGGCCTCAGAGGAGATGGTGAATTAGTCAGAGCTCAAGGCTGAAAACAAATGAAGAGGGTATCAGCCTATGTGGGGCAAGGATAACACGGCTGTTGTGAGGAGGCAGGAGCTTGACTAATAAAGCACAGAGGTTATTTGAAAGGGTAAATGGCCATGGGAACCAGGGAACAAAATGTACTCAGGCCTTTGCGTTGGAAACTTGGCTTTGGAGCCACCAAAGGGTGGGAGAATGCTTGTCCTAAGACACAAGAGCTCATTTTAAAAGAGGAAATAAGTATTTTTCTGGCCTTCAATTTTGCCACTAGAATATATACATCAAGGATTGCACTGGGAATGCGATTTATGAAATAATCTGAAGAGTCAAGCAGCCTGTGAAATTGCCAGTAAATGGCCTACCATGGGAGCAGGTAGATGTCATTTAGGGGAAAGCAAAATCAGATTATCCTCAAGGAGTAAAAGCTCGAGTGGACAGCTGTCTCTCAGATAAAGGATTTAAAACTGACTGCAGATTTCCACGTGGAAACACACTCAACGTAACACGCACTCAGCCACAATACTGGAAAGAGCACCTAGGACTCCTTTTTTTTCTTTTTCTTTTTGATGTTAAGGGAGGCAGATGGTATATAGTATTTTTCCTTAGAAGAATTGCATGAAACACAATGTATACAAACTTTATTAGTAAACCAATATAAAATAAATTAAAAAAAAAAAAAGATAAAAAATGGCATCTAGAATCCCGGGTATAGTAGCCCTAAGAGAGAGAAACTGAGCACATTTCTCAAGAACAGACTTTGAAAACATTTGTCTGCAATGTTTGTACACATTCAAAGTAATTCTCACTAGTTCTAACAATGTATTTGACAGGACAAGTTTGCTTTGAAAACTGGCCTTTTTGAAGGTCTATGTAAGCTGTTCTCACCCTATTTTCAAAGCCAGGGTCTACACTTGGGGCATATCGAGTTTATCAACCTCCTGGGGCCCACTGGAACACTGAGAAACTAATATACTCATAGAAATAAGCAATCATGGGACGCCAGGAAGGGCAGCCTCAGATGAAGCCCACTACAGAGGCCCTGCCGTGAAAACCAAGCTGGCAGCTCTGTGCCCGCTGACGGCAGAGGCTGAATGCCAGAGCCAGGCACGGCCTAATAAGAGAAGCGTGGTTTTTCACTCTGGAGAAGAGCAGTATGAAACAAATTATCACTAGCGACTCAAGACCAAGGGGGCATCTGTGTTGGCAAGCACCCCACTCTTCCCACTACCCACCCATTGTGTCACAATGGGACTGGCACTAACAACTTAGAAGATAGAGATATAGGAACAGCTCTGATCACAAACTTCCTCTTCTATAAAAACGGAGTAACTAGTAACAGTGCTTAACAGTGCTTAACATTTTACAAGAAAATTATGAAAATAAATTGAGATGAGTCAAAATCACTTAACCTAATGCCTGCTATATGATTAATGAGTGTTCGACAAATGGAACGTCGACGCTATTAATAGTACGAATATAAACAAAATAACAACAAAATGTTTAGATTTACCCTAAACTCCATGCATGTGAAACTTGCAGGTGGCAATGCAAAGCCTTCTTAATTAGCCCTATACAGACTTCCTCACAGGCCATTTACAACAGAATAACAACTATTAGCTTTCAGTATAATATTTTTTCTACAATTTGGTATGATGTGGAGCCATTTCTATATCCTTCTAATTTTTAAAACATGAAAATAGTACATCACCAGTACCAAAAAGATTATCTTTCCCCTTAGCTTATTTGCTAGTCTAACGGACATAAAAGGAAGTATCCTAATTGCTAGGGTTTTAATAACTTCTACCTCTTTGCTCTAAATTAGTTCTATTTGCTCTCACTGAAACCTGCCTTAGGCTATTTTGTCATAACCTCACTTTTTACCTCCCACAGCTTTTTGTCGTCTTTTTTCCCTGTTCAGAAGTCCGGAGAGAAGGAAAGTGTGAAACAGGAATGGAGAAGCCACGTTCTGGCAGCAAAGAAGGCAACAGTATTTGTCTTATTTTTAATTTTTGGCTAATTTAGAAAATAAAAACCAGCTTACCTGACCCTGAAGTAACTACAAATTGTTGTAAACCCAGATAAACTTCTAAATTGTCCTGAAGAACTGGAAACTGAAAAGAAAAAAAAAGTTTTTTTAACAATAAAGCAAGTTTTAACATGAATATATTTCAGCTACCTATAAAGAAGAGGTAGCAGCCTAAACACCTTCTGCTGGGAACCTTTAACCTTTACAAACAGCCAAGAAGTGGCTACTCTCTCACTTCAGTAGCCCACCACCAAAACCACAACCAATATTTTGGAATGAAAAAGAAATAAAAATATCCTCTAGCCTTTTTTTTAAAAAAAAAACAAAATATGCCAACATTAAATTTATCATGTTTCAAAGGGGGGAAATGAAACCCCTACATGATCTAGATGTTCTAGAGCTCTGAAATAAGGTTGGATATCCCTTCAATCCCAAAGGAAAGCCTATCCTAGAGAAAAAAATAACAATGTGCCTTATTAAAGTGCATGGCACAGTGAGAGATGAGACAAATACTTTTTTTTTTGAGACAAATACACTTTAAAATCAGTCTCCTTTGCTGATTTAGCAGACAGGACTTCATAGCCAGAGGTTTATCTTTTGAGAGCTGATAAACTCACCAAAGTCCTGCACTTAGATAAAAACAAAACCTGAATATAGCAGACCTTAACAAAGGCAGAGGGTGAAATAAAATAGTACTTTCCATGACAAAGAATACAAGACACAGCTATGCTGCGCAATGCAGGAGTTGACCCCTAAAAATTCTTTTGCCTTTCAAAGAGAGGTGGTCTTAATGAGATTTCTTCGAATAACAAGCAGCATTTGGTGTGTGACTCAGTCCTTATGAATAGAGATTCCAGCACTTAAACTCAGGCAGAGACAGCTAGTGACCTGTTGAGGGGGAGCTGATAAAAGCTAACTTTTCAGCATCGTAACTTTTGTAAATACAGCTCCTGTTTGGCCTGGTCACTTTCCAGCTACTGGTAAAGGCATTAAAACAATTATAAATTCATATTATATCAAACCCTCTGGGAAAGAAAATTAGCTCCCAAAGTATGATTTATGTATATGTATGTGTGTGTGTATATATACACACATATATATATATATACACACATATATATATATATACACACACATATATAGCCTTTTGTTGACACACGTTTCCTCAGTCCCCTGCAGAGAGGGCTAGTTACCAGCGTGGAGAAGGCGTGGCTGGGGAGGAGCTCCATCACTTTGGCCACCACCTCCAAGCTCTGCCGTAAGTACCGCTGCCACTCTGTCTGCTGCTGTGGGAGAAACAGAGGAATGAGTTCTCCCAGACTATGGAATCCACAGTCAGCTTCCCTGACAATTTGTCCTTGTCCTCAAGTCCACCCTCAGACAAAAATTTTGATGAAATGGAAAATGATAGAACCAGGTTATTTGGTATTTTAAAAGGCCAAGCCAGAGTATTTTCTACAATCCTTTCATGTTATTCTAAGCAAAATAATCACAAATGATCCATGCAGGATAACCCACTTTTCCACCTAAAATTAGTAAGTGGTTACTTAATACCTTTGCAGACAGACCTTTTCTATGTTCATGAAAGTTTAAATGGTTGTAAATTCTCAGCCACCACAGAACTACTAAATTATAATCTGTTAACAAGCTGTCCTACGGACTGCTAACCACCATCAAGTTTCAGCAGAATTGGGCTAAATCATAAAGAAGTTTACCTGGAATCTATTATGTACTTGGTACCAAGCTGATTCTTTCACCTCTGTCATCGCACTATAACTCTCATAGCTTATCAATATAAGACCTGTCATTTTTCTTTTGGGAGGAGAGGAAATTATGGTTCAGAGAAATTCAAAGCCCTGATGTCTACCTCCTCTGAGCCCAAGATTACAGAGGTTCCGATCCAGGCCATCTGCTCCCAAGCACAAGGCTCTTTCAAGCTCAACCATGGCAACTCTTCAAGTTCTTGTCTATGTTGTTCTTATTTTTGAGAATTATACCACTTATTTGAAAATTTAAAGCATCTGGTAGATAAGAAAAATGCAAACCTGAGTTGGTTGTATCCTTTAAATCATTTCCTTATCATTGTTGGACAAAGGATTATCAATAAAGTAAAGACTGATTTTAAGAGAGATAGAAAGTATATTCAAAAAAGATTCATTTCATTCTAGCTTTATCAGTTTAATATCTCTGTTTAACAATTTCTACTAGTATCCAGCTAACTTTTATTTGTTGTATGAGTACAAGGCAGGGAAAACAGAAACACACGTTAAACACAAGTTGCTCTACTTGCATCTCTAGTCCATGTAGTTAAAAAGTTTGTAAAAGTTTTCACAGTTAATTAGCCTGGGTCAACTAGGAAATGAAAAACTTCAAACTTACAACTGAAACTATAATATGATTGCTCCTTGTCTCCAGAGCAAAGGGGTTTACAGGTCCCCAAGCCTATATTCTGATTCAAGCCACACCATGGCAGTGATTAGAGGTCAACTAAAGTACGCCACTTACATCATCATCCAGTGTCTCATCGTCCAACTCCTCCAACTGGGCCTGGTTATATCTGAACTGGATTCGATTCAACACCTCTGTAAGCAAGAGGACCAGGGCATCTTCGTACCTGTATGACAGGGAAACTCAACATCAGGCTGCATTTCAAAAAGACCTCTATTCTTTGTGTTAGAATACTTCCTACAGTATTAGTTATACTTACTGGAATACAGAAACGGTCTGTTTCCAAAGGTGCTAAGTTGGACTTACAAGCATCATCTAAACTCCTAAGATTTAGTATATAGATTGGCAAGTTACACATCCAAGTGAGACAGCAGCACGGTATTTCTCTAACTGAGCACCAGGTACTATGTAACTGCTTGGTGAAATGAATCTTGTAAAATAATGTCCTTCTGACTTTAGTCATGTCTGAGTGGGATATCGCTTCCCATTCTTTTACTTGTAACTCGTTCATGTACTTGAGTCTTTCACAAACAACATATATTTGGACCATGATTATTTTAATCCACTCTGACAATTTCTTTTAGCTTGATCCATTACATTTAATGCTACTGTGCAAAAGAAAAAACCTAATTCTGCCTAATTTGACCTAATTTTGCTTTTTTTTGCCATATTTAATTTGTATTCTTGAATTCTCCGCCAACATTTTCTCATCTTAAGCATGTATTTTTATTTATAAACTTTTCATATTTTCCAATATTGCCATCTGAGTGACATTTACAAACCCTATTGGTTTTATATGTAATCATTCATCCACCTTCATTTTATAGCATTAATTATAATGCCATAAGTCTCTTATTCCATACTACTTTTCCTTTCACCTACCTTAATAAGTGTCTATTACCTATTAATTAATCTGAACTTCTCTTTCAATCACTTCACATTCTTGATAACCACTCAAGAGTGATTCTGTGTGCAAATCTTTCTTTTTTATATAATAGCGGAATATAGTATTTTTCTTTCGTGACCCACTTGTATCACCCACTCGGCATCACCTTCCCTAAATTCCTCTCTGTTACACTGTATAAGTAGGCATTTTTTGGTTTCAATTTCAAGTCCCCTGTCAATTCCTTTACTATGCACTTTTCAATTATTTTCTTATGGTTCTTAGGATTACAAGCTCTATAAATAAGTAAGGATTAACTCAATGATTTCAATCTTTTAACAGTTATGGGTGGTAGGTGGCACCTCTCTTTCTCAATTTTTAGTGACTTTCCATCCTGATTTACATTCATTGTGTATCTGTCTCAGTGTTGGTTCTTCTATCATCATTTACCATCTAACTGTGGCTTTCTTTTTCTGTTGTTTGTTTCCCTTTCTCTTTGTCACCTCTGACAACAAACTGCAACAGCATCCAGCTGTGTATGTGTCCCCTGCAGCTTCATCAAAGGGAAACTCCTATTCCATCTCATCAGTGACAGACTGCAACCAACACTGAGCCCAGTCGGCCCTCAACTGCTACACAACAGCGACTTGAGACCTGCACACACATCACCATCTGTTATCATACCCACCAGAAGACATGTGGTGAAACACGAAGAATTACCAAACCAGCAAAGGATGCAACACACCCACAAGGCTCAATCAGCTATGTCAAAATAAAACAGACATGTGCACTATAATGTCTTGGAAGGAGAATATAATTTTAAATTAAAAACAAAAACAAAAAACCACAGGATAAGGTGGAACAAAAAATGATCAAACTACAGAACCACAAAAAAGGTTCAGAAAAATACTACTGAAAATTCCTGACAAGGAGTAATTCAGTATCTCCAGTGGGCTGGGGAAATATTGAAAACATTACACCAATACAAGACCTAATAATGGGAGATTAGATACAATACAAAACCAGGAAATGCCAACTTAGAACATTAGGACTACAATTTCATAAACACCTAACACACTGGAGAACAAAAAAGAACTAAAGAAATGGAGAGAGAAATCTAAGTGAGATGGAGGACAAGTCTATCAATATGGATCTGACAGAGGAGTAATCAGAAAAGGGCAGGAAAGGAAATAAAAAAACAAAACAAAACTATGTCAGATGCCATCAAGAAGAATAACGTACTTGTGACCGGTCTTCCAGAGCAGGAAGAGACAGGCAGGAAGACACGTTTTGCTGGAAGAAAACCTCCTAGATATTATGAAAAAGGAGAAAATATGCGTTCAAGAAGCTGAGTAAGCCCCAAACAGAACTGATTCCAAAAGAAAAATATCAAAGTATATCATAATCAAATTTCTCAAAATTTGATCAAGACAAAGAAAATGGAAAACACCTTTGGAAAAAGAAGAGTTACCCATAGACGAGAACGAGAAAGACTTGAGCTCTGATTTCTCAGCAGAAACCATGTAGGCAGGAAGAAGGGAAATAAGAAAGAAAGACACTGCCAACCAAGAATTCTGTACATAGACAACAAACTTAATCACACCCATGACCGCATTTATTCAGACACCAACCCAGTCACAGAATACACAGTCTAACAAACGTACGGCACTAAAAATGTGGAACCCGAGGTTATCAGTGCAAAATGAGGATGACTACAATGCAAAATAAGAAATAAAAAGGCAGTTATGGAACTTCTAAATGGAAAGGAAGTCAAGGTGATTTCAAGATAACACGTACTGGTTTAGACTGGGAATAAAACAGTAACTGACAGATCCCAAAACAATAAATCTGCTAATCAAAATTAAAAATGGAAAACCATTAAAACTTAGTAAACACCAAAACAATAGTAAAGAAGAAAAGTCATAAAATGAACTTGCACAGGAAAGCAGCTGGAACAAGGAAAAGAATAATCTGTATAAAGCAAAGGAAAAGAGAGCAGGAGTGGCAACAAAGTATCTGCTTTCTACCACTGAAGGGCAGACAGAAGAGCACCACGTCAATAAAGAGCAAAAACTGAAAAGTGGACATAACTATAAGCAACGTCTACACAGTGACAGAGCTACAAAATACATAAACCAACAGCTGTCTAGAGAAATCAACAACTCCACGATAATCATAAGAGACTTCGATACACCACTTACGATGAAAAGGAGATTGACTGGAAAGAAACTCAATAAAGATGCAGAATATCACTAACTAACTGAATCTCACATATACAGGACACTGACCCCAACAAGGGCATAATGCACCATTCCGCAGAACAGACCATAGGTTAGGCCGCATAGCAAGCTTTACTCCATTAAAAAACATCAAAATGCTACAAAGCATCTTCTCAGATCACAATGCTATAAAATGAGATATCACAAGAGGAACCAAGGAAGAAAATATCTTAACGGAATGGAAACAAATCCTGCTTGAACGTTATAGGACAATAAAAGATCTTTAAGATTTCTTGAACCAAATGAGAATAAAAACACAATATACCAAAACTTTTAAACACAGCAAAAGCAATCTCATAGGTCAATTTTAAAGCAGCCAGTACAAGGGGAGCTCTGGTGGCCTAGTGGCAAGGAGCTGCAACTATAATCCCAGAGATGCACGGTTCGAATTCACTAGATGCTCTGCCGGAGAAGGAGGGACCATCTCCTCCTGTACCAGTCAGATCTGATTTGACGGTACACACACACACAAATAATAAAATTTTTAAAAAAAAGCAGCCAGTACAAAAGCCTACCAAACAACAAAGTTATGGCTTCAACTCAACATTCTATTAGAAAAAGAACAGAAAGCAAGCAAAGTCTACAGTCCCCAGAAGAAAGGAAATACTAAAGAGCAAGAATAGAAAACAGAAAACAAAACAAAGAATTGACAACATTAGAAGCTGGTTTCTTGAAAGGACTAATGAAATCAACATGTCCCTTACAAGTCTAACAAAGGAAAAGACGCAAATAATATGAGTAAAGAATTGAGATGGGTACTGTCACAAGAGAATCCATAGGGGGTGGGGAAGGCACTAACAGCATACTATTAAGAACTATACTCCCAACAAATTTGAAAACCTAGCGAAATAGAATTTTAGAAGCTTGATGCCTACTGAAACTAAGACAGACAATGAGAGAACACTTGAACAAATCCATCTCTGAATGAACAGGTCATAAAAACACTCCCAAACAAAAAAGTCCTGAGCCAGATGGCATCACTGGGAAATTCTACCAAAGATTCAGAGAAGATCTGACACCAATCCTACTCAAATTATTTCAGAATATAGAAAAAGATAGAATACTATTGAACTCATTCTATGAAGCAAGCGGTTATTAAAACCAGGCAGAGACACCATTTGTTGTTGCTGTTATATGCCATTGAGTCGCTTGTGACTCACAGCAACCCTATGTACAAGAGCCCTAAATGCTGTTCTATTCTGTGCCAACCTCGCCATCTCAGACACACTCATTCCCACCATTCCACTCACAGAATCGATCCATCCAATAGAAGGTCTTCCTCTCCTACGCCATCCCACCACTCTAGCAAACATGATGTCCCTCTCCAAGGATCAGTCAGACGAAAATGAGTAAACTGCAGATCATTATCCATCATGAATACAGATGCAAAAATCTTCAACAGAAACCAACATTTTTTTAAGAAAATAAAACAAACCATCATGATCATGTGGGATTCAGTTATACAAAAGTGGCTCAACATTAGAAAAATAATCACTAACTCACCACATCAATAAAACAAAGAAGAATCATCACCTGATCTCAATGTTCACAGGAGATGAAGATGGACTGACATAGCAGCTCCGACAACGGGTCTCCGCAAAACTTATGAGGCTGGCACCCAAGGTCATCATGATGCACAGCCAACTTCACACAGCATGTAACAACGTAACAAGAATAATTTCTCTAAGAAATACTCAGGGCCTCTGGATAAATATTGCCCATAAGAGATAACGTTATACTAAATACCACATACCACAGGGCCAAAGATTTTCAGGAAAACGCTGTTTCTTAAAGGCTTACCTCCTAGTCATAAAGCCACGCTAGTTACTAAACTACTGCTTCTGAGCTTCCATATACTCTACATATTTTGTGATGCTGGAACTAACACGATACAAGGTGTATTTCTACTCTTTGTTAGCTCTCTATTCTTATTGAGGGCTGTTGAGTCAGAACTGATAGCTGACCCTCTAGTGGGTTTTCAGAGGCAATAAATCGTACAGGAGA